TGGTTATAAAAGTTGGAAACGATAAAGCAGAAAGTACATCATTGAAAAATCATTTCAACTGCCACGACCTCACAGAAGACCTGCGTGAAGACGAATATAGGTATGAAGTATAATTTGTCCCTTCTATATACATATATCTACAGTCTGTTTTCGTACTAAGATGTCAAAATTCTAATAATATTTACGAATTAAGGGCCTAGTATAAAAAATAATAAGAGCCGTGATAGCTCTGTGTCCGGGCGCTCGCCTTAAATTCAATATAGGTAGTCGAGCAACCTGAGTTCGATCCCGACCGTACCGGCACCAATGAAATTGTTAATTTCAATTGCTGAAATATTTTGAAGATATGTGAAGTCCACCAATCCGCAGTGGGGTCGCGTGGTGGACTATGCCCCAATACACTCTGTATAGCGAAGGCTTTTGCCCAGCAGTGGGACATGTATAGGCTGTTACTTAACTTTTTAATTCAGTGCCGTATCAGATGGTTTTCGTTATAATCCAAGTTGACTGTGGAAGATTGGATTCTAGTTTTAAAATAAACACATAAAAATACATTCTTACTATTGTCGTTAGATTTAGAAATCCATCAATAATGTGAAATAGATACAAAGGTATTGTAATATTTAGTTTTGGAATTTAGTTCGTATAAGTAGAGGATGCTCCGTCTGTCTATAGCGATAGCTCAAGATAGTGCATATTCATTACTCCGTATCTTGTAACAGCTCACTGCTATAATTACAAGCGTGTTGTACAACAACATTTACACGCGGCTACTTCCCTTCGCCATTTGTAATATCCTTCCATGCTCCAGTACGGTTTTCTCACGCCTATTTATATATTTAATTAAAATTTACAATTGTTCCTCGGTGTTCAAACACGACGGCAATAAATAAGACAGTAAAATAATATTACAAGCTTTTATTTAGTTGTTCACCTGTCCCGATGTTTGTCATCAAATTTTGCAAATTATTTTATCAAATAATCATTAAAACATTTTCATAATCTATTTTCTTCTTCTTCTTCTACCGGGCATTAATACCGGCTATTACCAGGGTCTGCCTTTCTACTCAAAGTCACTTTGCCCGACCTTCAACATCCTCAGGGGTGAGGACATTGGTTGTCATGTCCTGCTTCACGACGTCCAGCCAGCTCCCTTGGGTGTCCAGGAGGTCTAGCTCCGGGGTCAGGTATTTATTTAATAATGTATTTTCTATTCAGAGTATAATGTCAACAGGAGAATACTTATACTATAAGCTGATCTTCTGGAAGATCTTGGTCACCAGACGAGCCTGCCATGCCAACAATAACAGAAGCTGCGGTGTGACTTTACCACAGCATGCCACTTACGCAAATTTTGCCCCTCACCTCATGGTGTACCTATATCTTTCGAATAATATTTGACGACTCCGTGGCGCAGTTGCCAAGGTATTGGCTTCGGCGTCGGGGGTCGTGGGTTCGATTCCCACACGGGACAACTATTTGTGTGACCCACAGATAGTTGTTTCGCATCTGAATGTTTGTCCGCGTGAAATTTATGTTTGTGAAACGTCCTTTACAACACAGGATAATATTATCCTAAAGTAAGGGCAGTGTTTTTTAAAAAAGAAAAAGAAAGAAAAGAATAATCGTTTTCATTAACCTAGAATTCATATCTCTCCTTTTGTAAATGTATGTTTCAAGGCCCAAGTGTAGTGTAAGCATTATACATCAGCCGTTGTAGATCTCCACGGCGATATTCACTTAAAATTAGATGACATGACGTATGGTATAACGTAGTGCTGTATCGGTTTCTGAGACCGGGTTTTAGAATTTTCTTAAGAGGCCTCTAGCAAAACAACGGATCCTTCGTTAGGACCGGTTACAGAAGATTTTATCAGCACAAACCCTCGCGTTTATTTATGAACCCTATCGAGTTATATCGCGTTCCCATAAAAAGCAATTAACCGCCACTTGTCTTCGTTATCAGCTCTTTTATCTTTTTCTATGAGAACGTTGTATTCAAGCAAGTGTTTTGTCCATTATGAGAATTGTGACGGACGACAAAACAGAGCAAGTTATGTATTAGTAGATAAAGAACATATCATATTACATGTAAATCATTTCAGGAATTCTTTGATTATGCTGTAGGAATATATAGTGCATATATATGAAGGAATATGTTAAGGGATTAAAATGATGTAATTTAAGGGCAACAAAGCATTAATGGTTTATAGTCAGTCACTTAAATCCAAAAAATTATGAATTATTGAGCATTTACTAGATAGCGATATGATTTGTGAGCCGTGATAGTTCTGTGTCGGCCGCTCGCTTTTAATTCATTATATTCGAGCGACAAAGCGGGCGGGTTCTAATCCCGGCACTTACCAATGAAAATGTTAATTTTATGTGCTGACTTATCGTGTGCTCAATGATGAAGGAAAACATAGTGAGGAAACTGCATATTTTTGAAATAATAAAAAAAATATTTCGGATATATGTGAATTCTGCCAGTCCACTGTTGGGTCGCGTGGTGGACTATATCACCATCCCACCGGGTTGGCACTACATGTGAATCATGTTGTGAACGGTTTTGGCCCTATTTTTTGTTGCCGGCCGCCTGCCGGACCTCTCCCTCCTTGGGAAAAGACACCCGGAACGGTTATTTGTGGGACACAAATATATGCCCCGTGTGGAAAACGAACCCCCGATCCCCCTTGCTGAAGTAAATAACAGTGCGATGCCTCATCGAGTCACGTATAAGAGTTCTAACGTTTTTGCCTTGATTCTAATATTTTAACTATTACTGAACTTGAATATTAACAATTATTATAACGACAAGTAGCGCTAGTGGTTGTATCACCGTCCGGGAACGCAGCCGAAATCCAAGTCACCACTGCTCCATGCGATCATGTGTCCCTTGGCTCGGGTAGATAACGTCATATCCGGTATACAGTGTTGCCAGCGCCAACACAGGTTGTATTTATTTATTTAAACTTTAGGATAAATCTAGCTTATTGCGTTTAATGGACGGTTCGATATTACGCTGCCCTCTTAATGCGGTGATGATTCACTTTCAAAAGCGTTTGCGGTACATTTGCCAGTTGGAGTTGCCTCGTTGTTTTCGGTGTACCCTAACACGCCGTATCACGGTTTATGCAATCGGCTTCTGATTCCGTGTCGGATTTTTGACGAAACTCAGAGAGCTGAACAATTAAGTTCATAATTAATTGGTCGCACGCTCTCGATTTCGTTGCCGTTCCATTCGCGGTTGCGACACGCGATTTGAATGAAATGCCTGTATTAAGTTATTTGGATATGCCGTGTTCGATTTTCGTGCCGAGGTTCGAGGGGCTGTTGATTAGCAGCCGAGTTGATTCGATCTGAGTAGCATGTTCGAATCTGGTAGTCCATACCACTGTAAATAAATAAATTTCTGTACATATTTTACACAAAGTCATCATTATCTAACTTAGTGCTAATATTACCCAAATTAAGTGAACTAGGACATAGTAAACCGAAAAAGTTATTTTGTTTGTAAATAAACATATAAGCATCTAGCCACGATGTTCATTCAGCAATATTTTTCTAGTATTGGAGTTTGAGCCCATACCCTTTGGCACAAGAGCCAAGTCCACTAATCACTGCGAAATTGTTTTAAAGTCTTTGGTTAATTGTATTTAGGGTATAAACCCTTGATGACTCCGTGGCGCAGTTGCCAAGGTATTGGTTTCGGCGTCAGGGGTCGTGGGTTCGATTCCCACACGGGACAAATATTTGTGTGATCCACAGATAGTTGTTTCGCATCTGGGTATTTGTCTGCGTGAAATTTATGTTTGTAAAACGTCATTACAACACAGGATAATATTATCCTAAAGTAATGGAATTTTTTTTTTAAAAAAATACCCTGTAATACAATTTTCACATACATATACTCACTGCACACTGGCTTTAATTGCTTCTGCCTAACCCGATGGGCTAAAACCTGTGATACCTTGTATAATTACAGTATTAATAAAATCATTACTATTAGGTCCTTGCATAAATTAGCGTTTTGTCGTACTGACCATTTTGATCTGAAATAATCCTCTTTGGTTAAGAATTTTACCAGCTTAGTAAGAATAAGTAGTGTATATAGCCTCTAAGTATAATTTGTTGGTCAATCGGCGATGTACGGAATACGAATATTGGACTTAATCAACGATCAACAATTTTATTGTGTATCTTTTTCAGACATGACTTAATTTTTTATTTAAAAAAAATGATGTGGTGTCGTGGGACACCAGGTAGGAACGAAGTTCCTTCGGCTAATGTAGAATCGACACAAATTGCAAAAAAAATCGTGCTCAATTTTATGTAGGTTTTCTTGATTTTTCTCTTAAATTTTTCTGATTAGTTTTTATTTAAGTACAAGAAAGTATTTAGGAAATTCAGTATTTTAGGAAATAATAAATTACTTAAAATAAAAAAACATCGTAATTCAAATTATCAACTAAAATAACAAAATATGTCTCTTTATTTTTGTTTGACAACATAAAAATTATGCGACTGTCGCGCCTGCGCACGTCTCATTTAACGGTTTTATTCCACGCACTTTTTTCCACGGATTTTTTCTTACGGTTTTACTATCATATTTTTTTCAGTTCGGTCGCGTAGCAAAATCCCTATCTCCTCCAAGCCTGCCGCAAGGAACTTCGTTCCAAAAAACTATTTATAAAATTAAGAGCAATGATGACATCTGTCATTAATAATATTTATAGTTGAATGTTATTTGTATAAGGCGTTGTATGCTGTAAAGGATGCACACTAGATGACGCCAAGCATTGCCAAAAATGCAATAGAAAGAACGTAGATAGATGTGAAGATTTTCGCGCCGCGAGGTCATCGACCGCTTAGCTTAGTCGGCAAAGCGTCTGGGCGCGAAACCAGAAGACGCAGGTTTGAATCCCGCAGCGCCCAAAGTTTCTGTCGTTTCCATCTACAAAACTTGACGTTACTTTAATTATTTCTCTTAAATAACATACCTTTGAGACTGGCTCCTCGCTCCACCCCCCACAGTTTGCCATTCCTTCTAGCAGCGTCAGTTCACTGTAACAATCGGAAATATAAACGTTATTTTAATCATTTTTTTTTTCAAATTAACAGTAAATTAAAATTTTACATTTAAACACGTAAATTAAAATTAAAATTTAAAATAAAACGAATATAGGCAAACAATCTAAAGCCTATTATAAAAATATCCCCAACTAAATATATCTAATCAGAATATATCACGTTAACTAGAAAATGTTTACAACTATGGATAATAATCAATAGCAAAATTTAATTTTATTGAATTCATTAAGAGAACAAAGTAACTACAAAAAAAAAAAAAACATTGTATTTATTAAAATTAATATGCAAGTTATAAAATTACCCAGACATCTGTTAAACGCGCGCATTTAACTTTTATTTTCACTGATACAATTTAACCAATGATAAGTTTTAACCCTAACCACTGTGTCATAGAAAAATTTTCATATTTTGATATCACAACCCTCATAACGACAACCTTATTTCACCTGACTTTTATCTGCGGAATGAATAATTTTTGTTCCAAACAGATATTTCGCCAAAAAGAGTCACAATTAGTGGCTAAAGTATAAGTACGGATGCGCTTAACTACGACGATTTTTCGATGATCCTACCAAACGTGGAATGCGTGGAATCTGGCTATTCCACTAGTTTTACGTTCGATGAAGCTTTTATAGTCTACGGACTGTAAGCGAGAACATAATCCAATTAAGATTATGACAAGTCGAGCCGATTTGAGATATCTCATCTAACATCGACCATCGTCCCATGTTCCTGCTTTTATCATCGTAATTTGCTTCATTTTCCGGTACTGACGACCTAATTACTCTTAACGGGGAATTCTGATTCAATACAGTTTACGTAGTACTCATTTATCAATATAAGCACCTTGGCCGTGACTAACATAAATTGGTTTAATTAATAAATAAGAAATTACTCACGTTTGTGACATTTAAATATCAACATACGATCGTCGGAAGCAAGTTTTTATTTAAAGCAATTTGGCAATTAAATTGTAATCCTGGTTGGGTCGTTGACGTCTGATTTGTACAGCGTTATTTTTAGTTATTGATATCGTTATAACATGTTTCTAGTCAAGTCTAGTCTAGTGAACTCTTATAGTAGGTTTGAATCCTAATGTGTTATTTTCCACGACCGTTTTTTGAGTATCAACTCATGCCGTATAATTTCTGCGTCTACTCTGTACAAGGTAGCCTATAGAATTTGCAGAGGTTCTAAATACACTTTATGCACTGGTCTAAATCCGTGCTACTTTATATATTATAATACCTAATGAGAGTTGTTAAAATGTCTGTTTGTTCTGACTAAGTTTCTAAGTAATTTCATCACAGAATATTGTTTAATCGTTGGTATTCGACACCGTTTGCGATTTACAAACAGATTAACAAACATCAATCGGTTCGTCAGATTAAGAACCTGTATATAACCATCTCAACGTATGAAGTGCTTAATATTGTCGCACCTTTAGGAAGACATTTCACGATTGTGACAAGAGTTAAATTAACTTTTCTGATTGGTGAAAAGAATAATACTAATTTTATTAGGATACCTCTTAGTACCAGGAAGTGGAAAGTAGTGATTTCATAAAAGTCAGTGGGTCGAACGTAGTACATTGTTGTACTGCGGCGTGCGAAGAAAACGCACCCAGTTCTATGCATTGAGATTACAGACAATCGTATGAAAGACGAAATCGTTTTGTTAATGATGCACCACTGTACAGCGCTTTCATTTCCTTAAGAATGAAACGGAATGAATGAGTTCCGAGTGTACTATATGACTAATTACTGACGCTTGGTAATTGTGAACTTTAAATTCAGGAACTATTACATCAGCAATAAGGGCTCAAAAACGCACACTAACGTTTTCATTTTACTTAACTTTCCTTGTAACTGGCGTGATAGCTCATTGTCCGGCGCTTGCTTTTAATTCAATATACTTGAGCTCAGGTAGAGTTCGATCCCCGGAGCCGACACCAAAGAAATTTTTAATTATAGATGCTGACTTATCGTGTGATCAGCGCATAATTGAAACCTGCATATTCTAAACAAATATTTTTTGTGATGTCCGCTAATCCGCATTGGGGTCGCGTGGTGGACTATGCTCTAATGCTCCACAGGAGGCCTTTACCCAGCAGTGGGAAAAATATAGACTGTTAATTAACTTTACAATCAAATAAGCTAATATGCACGTTCGAATATGTTGTTGAAAACACTCACACATGCGGGACACGTGTCAGTGTTTTCTTTGTACGGTTTTTTTTATGTGACAAGCAAGCTGGCTGTTTCACCTGATGTTAATTGACAACCGCCGCCCATTTCTCTGTCTGACATTTACAACACCCGAAGGGTTGCAGATGTGTTGTCACCTTTTAATAAATTGAGCCTACCTCACGCGGCAGACGAAACGCAGAAGTTTAACTCAAGCACCTCTCACTGAGGATCTAAAATGTCTAAATGCGTCGTATGTGGCCTTATACCTAGCTAGCTCTTTGAGTTTGTTTTAATTTGTACGAATCAACAGCAGCCATGTCGCATCCATACGCCGGGTCCATTGCGATGCATCGCGCGGCGAGCGGAAATCGTCAGACATTAATATCGAGGCTTGTATCTTGCCTATGCGATTGTTTCGTGTGCGACTTTCCCATATACATTCGCCAGTCATCAATACCGAACGCGGGCTGTGCACGGCCTGAATACCGTATTATACACTACTAGCTGCGCCCGCGACTCCGCTCGATTGAACGACGTACTTCTTCAACCATCGCAAGCAAGTAGACTAAAGCTAGCTGGTAAATTGTATTAAAAGCACCACGCAGCAGTCTTGTGACGTGAAGTGAAAATAATAAAAGGTCAAACCATTAATTGAATAGGGCATTACTGATAATTGGGATTCTGGTATTTAATAATATGAAATGGGTTATTTCTTTCTTCGACATTCCATGGAAAAGTCTCGAAAGTTTGTACTGAGTGTGCGTTGAGCAAGCGCCGGCTTACACGCAAGCGGTTACGCGGTGAAATAACAGTTATAAAAGAAATTGCCCTCCAATTTTCGCCGGGGCTGGTGACACTCTCCGTTACTCAAACCTGACCTACGACAAGCTATATGCGAGCTTGTGATTTATTACCTGGCTAATTTCAGCGGGCGTTTATCTTTTTAATTTGGGGGATAGAGTTACGAATGCAAAAGTCGCTAATGATCGGGCCTATGGAAATTTGTTTTTGTTAATTGATCTCATTTATAAATGACGACTGCGTTGGAAATGGTAGTATGTACTTGTATTAGTTTTAAATTTGATTTTAAGTAATTCTTTTTTTTTATGGATTTGATTTTAAGGAATTCTATAGTGGTAAGTAAAAAAAAGTAAACTACGTCCAAATCTTATGTTGCCATCTTTTTATAGTTCGTTAGACGTTTCACATCTTATATTAATCTGGCCTTGCGTGGATGAATTTATTGCTAAATACGTTTAAAAATTTTTGCTAAATCTTAGAATTATGAGTAGGTTTGAGAAAAATTTAAAATACTTTAAAATTTGAATTAAATAGATTTTGAAAGAACAAGAGATCAATAATTGAGGGTAAACTTAAAATTCCGTAGTTAAGTCACTTAATTTACTTTGCTTACTGATAAGTCAGCACTGAAAATTAATAGTTTAATTGGTGCTGGCATCGGGGATCGAACTCAGATTGCTCGAGTATATTGAAATAAAAGCGAGGGCCCGGACAATGAACTCTCAAGTACATATCTAAAGTCACTTATAATTGCAAACATATTATGTTTTATAATTCTTAATTGAGTCGGGTGTTATAACGAAGTAAAGTGCCAAGTAAGAGGGAATTATCGCTGAGTTTTGACATAATACGGGAAGATTTAAATAAAAATTGATTGGTTTGTCATAATTACGGCATTGAAACGTCGTGGCCGCGTCCCGAGGGCTGGAGTCACGTTTGAGTGGCGTCGTGATTTCATAGAATTTTCATCGGGTACGTTTTTGAGTCACGACGCTTTGGCTCTTAACGTCAGTTACCGTTAATGTATAATAAAATTAAATGCCCCCATAGTTTTGTTTAGATTGTCCGGTTAATATTCTGAGCGTCGACCGCCGTCTTCATCCGGTATGATACCATCGTTAGTTAGTACTTGCCCGTTTTTCTTTTCTCGTGTTCGTCAACGAGAATTTGAATTTTTGATCGACAATCAGAGAACTATAAGTTTATCAGTTACCTAGTATACATGGCACTGGCTGTGCTTTGTTTGGGATTAGATAACGTTGTGTAAAATATTTCCTGAAATTTACCTCTTCCACCAACTATTTCGCACTATAAATTTGGAAATGTTAATATTAGTTACAAATCATGTACACTGTCGAGCAGTATGAGACGTCATTCACAATTATCGTTGTGTACAATATTCACCGGTTACCTTGTGCATAAGTAACTTATTATCAACGAATACTTGAGTATATATGTAATATATGTAATACGTAGTCTTCTTGGCAGCTATTGTATGGCCAATGTAAAAATAAATTATGAACACTTTAAGCGTTAAGTCAAAAGTTTCGAGTCGGAATTTACTTTATTTGGACATATTGTCATATCTAGTATGTATTGAATGAGTTGAAAGGTTAAACAATGAGTGGATTGCTTTATAGCGCATAAGACAGGCCACGTTGAACGACATAAAACGCGTAATACGACCTAACAGCATCGTGATGGCGTTACGGGACCCACTACAGTGGGGCGAATCGTCGAGTGACCTCGATCGAAGAGTCTCTTACTCTAGCCTTGTATTTGTTTTATCTTTATTTGTTTATGTTTTTTTTATGTGAGAATGTGGCAAGCGAGCTGGTGGTTCACCTGATGCTAAGTGATAACCGCCGCTCATGGACATTTGCTATATCCATAAGATTGCAGATGTGTTGCCATCTTTAAATCAAGTGTGCCCCAGGTATCTCACTCACCAGACGAAACGT